ACACATCTACCAAAATTTGATAAACTTATAGTCTGTGGTTTTAAATTTTATTTTTTTTGTAAAATATTTTAAGCATGCAGATGAGAATGGATGGCACTTTAGACTTAGTGAAAAACAGCGTATTTAGTAATTTTTAAACAATTTTGATTATCTTATGCATATTATTTTTTACTTGCTTTTTTTACCCAATATATTGTAAACATCCAAACAAGTCAGTATTATCCACAACGTTGTTTTAAAAGACTGAATACCACCTATTATAGAAATAACATCACTTATTTTACTAATCCTCCATTTTGAGGTGTTTAGGTTGTTATCAGTTTTCCTGTGACATACTGCAATGTACTGTGACAGATGGACATATCGCTAACTCTTTGACACATAATTACTGCCTTAGGATGTGTCCTAGAAGCAGAGTTGCTGAGTTTAAGGGTATTCACATAGGAAAGGGTTTTGACCACATTTTCAAATTGCCCTTTGGAAAGAATATACCCATTTTTGCTCCCACCATCTTTTTTTTTTTTTTAAAGAGTTACTATTTCCCTACATTGCCAAATTTATCTGCAAAATGTTAAAAACATTTTTTTTTATAGATACCATCTCCAGGAATTGTCTTGCCTCTCCATGAAAGCATATCTTTTAATGTTGCCAACTTCACTGAAGAGCTTTGGAGACTTTTCCAAGGGAAAGAAAACGAGATGGTTGAAGAAGAAAAATAGACTTAATTCAGAAGCTTTGGTGGCTACTACTGTGCCATCCTGGGCTTCCAGGGCATAAATTGCTGGTTGTTGATAGTTTCTAAAAAGGGGTTAGTGTGCTGATGTTTAAAGGAAAGCTCAGTATTTCAAGAAAGCTGCTTGGAGAAGGATTGAGTTTAAGACATTTCCTATCCGGTTTACAAAGGACCTACTGAGGCAATGAAAACAATAAGCAGGAGATGTGTTCCGTTGCACACAGATTTCTTACTCATCAAACAGTCTGAAACAGCTTGGAAATAAATCTTATGGTTTGCCCAGGAAATGGCCAGAGTTTGAGCAACAGGACTCGTTCAGAGTCATTTATTATAGGGGCATAAAGTAAGAAATATGAATTCCATTTTGTTTTTGCCTATAGGGAATTGATTTTTTACATACACAACTTTAAGGATGCTTGAATACTTTCAGTGTATTCTTCTGAATTTTAGTTTTTGTCTAAATAACCAGCAAGGCATCTTTTCTTTGGGGCATGTAAGGGTTCTGGTGTGACTATTTTCTAATGGAGAAAGTGTAATTTGAATGAAGGTCAGATTTTCTATGTTAATAAAAGCTAGCAAATTAATAACTAATACAAGTTAATAATGCTCTTACCAAGATGGAATTTCTGAGCATGTTGACATGTAACTTTGCAAGGGTCATTTAAAGAGAATGTCTTTGATACAAACCTGCACCCTTCATCCAGTTTTAATTCCTTTTCCAACTTAATCCTACTCTTGGCGAAGCTCATTCTATTCAAACATAGGGGAATCTGACACACTATAATGCAGGTCATTGAGAATTAATTTCTTGAAGACCTTTTTAGGAAACCTTCCTCAGAAAATGTGGTTCAGGTCAGAGATTCAGACAATCACTTTTCAGGATAGCGTTGGAGTGAAAGATTGGATGTCATCCTAATCATGGATTGAAATTTTTAGCCTTTACCCTTTTAATGACGATGGTGGTGAGGGGTTTGGGACATGGAAGATACACAGCTGAATAAAGGACAGTTAAAATCCATAGGAGCGAAGGTAATTTAGGCTTAAAAAAAAAAGTACCTAAGAGTAATTGAATTTGGAGGCTCCTTTTAAGTACTTTCAGATACAAAGACTCTGTGTTGTCTATGGGCCAAGTCAATGCTACTCATTGAAGGCCAAGGAGCAATGTGTTGGGAAGGGACCTGAATGAAGCTCGATGCTTTGAACACTGTTTCTGAGAGCATCAAAGAAAGCTATTCAGTGGGAGAGGATATGATCCACGAGACCAGGATGTAGTATTGAGACCCATGGGTAGTTTGATTGAAAAGCCTTTTAATCTCAGTGTGAAGAAGGTGCTTGTAAGGGACAGAAACCTAACCCCTGACAGGGATGTGCTGATGAAAGGTCGCTGCCAGTATCACTTTCTTGGCATGGGGAGACCAAACCAAGGCAGTTGGAAAGGCTTAATCTATGTGGGTCAGCAGTTACTGAGGAGAAATGAGAATCAGGAGGCTTGTCTGATGGACAATAGAATTGACTGACTGTGCTGCATGAATGAAGGGAAGAGATTTGTATGAATTCTGAGGCACCGTGCAGGTAAGGGAGGAGTTGAGAGTTCCCTAAGAAAAGCAGCTAGGCCAGGTCATGGATCAGGGAGGACCCACGTGGACATTTAATCCGAGCAGGAGTCCGATTTTAAAAGGAAAAAATGTAGATATCAAAAAAGGTAATGGCAGAAAGGTCTTATTTCCCTGGTAACTCTATTTTTCTAGCTAAGTCAATTGAGAGGGTTCATAGAAGGACATTGGGATTTGCCAGATAATAACAGTCCCTGAAAGAGAGACTTTCATTTCTAGGATCAGCTGGGATCAAAGATCGGATGGATAGATATTGTCTAGGCTTGGAAAGAGCTGTTGTAACTCTTGAAATATAAATGAAGAGGACTTCATACCGATTTCCTTTCTGGCAGCATGTGGGAATACCAACTGTGTCAATTAAAGGCATTTATCTCATGGAATTTCAAGTATTATCTTCTGGTAGATCAGAGTATTGTGATTAAAACAGAGCCTAGAAGTGAACATGGCAGACCCATTATAATTCCTCCCTGGTTGTCCTCATTCTGCAGGGCCCCCTGCCTGGACTCCAGGGCTAGGGAAAGCTGTTCACTTTGAGATGGGGATCTGGAAGGCATCTGATACCTTGTCTGCTGGATGGTAGGTTCCCTATAAGTTCCAGTTGACCTTCCTTTTCCTCTCTTCCTCTCAGCATGGTGTGGTGGTAAAATTCATGAGTCTAGGAAGTCAGATCTGAGTTTGACTACCTTGTAAGAGTTACTTAGCTTCTCTGAGCCTCAGTTTCCTCAATGGTGATGGCATCTCCCACCTTAAAGGATGGAGGCAAGGACTGCATGAGGTAAAACATTAGCCCATGGTCTTTGTAGATACTTACTGGGTGATGGTGCCCCTCTTCCCCTCCTTGCCTTAAAAACCTCATGAATATCTGTATCTGAACCAGCCTCAGAGGGGCTGATGAGTGCAGTCCACTGCTCAGATATCTGGTTTACTCGTAAATGAAAAATGGTATTGAATAAAGCTACTGCCTGTCAGAGTAGACACACCAACCTTCATAATAGAAGTTAGGACATTTATTTCAGTGTATAGTCAGCTCTGCTATAAGATATGTGTTCTTAAAAATCACCATGCTATGCAGAATTACAGAATAAAACTCACAGGGCTTATGGGAAAAATGGGTTAGAGACATATCCCTCAAAAACTTGTCAGTGACACGCTCCAAAAATAGGAACAAACCTAGAAATGATGGTAGCACAGTTTTACACATGGTAAGTGACTGAGATACAGAGCACTACAATGAATATGGCACATTTCCATGGGAAGACCTGACGTTTGCTTGTGGAAGCAGGTGTTGGAAGGGTTGGAGTTTGTGAGTGTTGTCCTGAAGTTGTGCAAAGAGGGTTATCTGAATTCAGACAGGAGTTGTAACACCAGATGTGGATGGTGTAGCATATAACGTGCTAAACCAAGGTAGCTAGTAGATGTGTGTGGGTTTTGTGTTTTCGTACTGAGTTCAGCAGAGGGAAATGTGTGTTCATCTAGTGTTTCTTGAAGGTAAAATCATGCATAAGCAAACACAAAATTTGCATTATGCTCACCTTCTTTTCCCTCATATATCAATCAGATTGGAATAGATCTGCATTTTCAAAACAAGTGTTTCAGTGGAACTGACTGTACCAGCTTCCTGGGAAAGGCCACTTTCCCCTAGACAGCACCCTAAAGTAGAAGTAAATAAAATCAGTGTGAAACATCAAGGCTAATGGGACCATTCACATCTTTTATAAAATGGTAGTCATTTTGTAAATATAAATTTTGCATTCTTTATATATTGCTTACTGTATTCTTGGATAAGTGGAGTTATTGCCAGACTGTGTTGAGTGTGGCAATAATGGGAGTGTGAGGATGGGTGGGCCTTTGCTGTATTTTGTAGTGATTTTCCTTGTGGATTATCTCTTTGGATCATCTGCTACCTTCTCATTCCTCCATTAGCACGAATGAGCCACCCTTAGTGCCCGATCACATATTAACTGACACACACAGACTTATGGGTAAAGTAGTCAATAAAAACATCGGTAACACAGTCAGTTAATAACAGCATGCTGTGTTTCTCTGAGTCACCCAGATCTCTTTTAAAGCTCCCCTGCAAAGGAATCCTGTGTTTTAAAAAGAAATGTGATCATGAATATATGTAACTATATATGATGCTAGGAGAACAGCATCATGTATGTTGTGACTTTAAGAGGTAGTGGAGGCTAAAATGGCTATGGAGTTATTCATAGATAAACTTTAGGAGAGGTCCGTGAGCCCCAGAAATTGCATACAAATTTTTGTTGGTAAGTGCATTTTGGAAGGAAAGAGCCCTCAGCTTTTACCATATTCCTAAAGGGTTCTTTGATCCCCAGATGGCCAAGAAACACTGATTTAGAAAAATCCATGGAATGTAGATTCACATGGGTCATTTAGGGGAATTTAGAGTAATTGATGGCATATCCTAGTACAGTGACTCCATCAAGGGGAGCTTTTATAGTTTTCTAAAGAAGCGCTCCTGGGGGCCACCATCAGTGACAGCAAGGAGCTGGTTTGAGCACTGGGTGATTTTGCATGTAATCTTTGGTATTTCCTCTCAAACTAGCTACATCTGCAGTGAAGGGTTCCCTTTTGAACAAGGGCTTATGCTTTTCAACTGTGTATCTCATGCTTCCCTTGACTTTATTTTTCAGATGGGAACAGCGAGAGTTGCCCAATGGGCGGGTCTATTATGTTGACCACAATACCAAGACCACCACCTGGGAACGGCCTCTTCCTCCAGGGTAAGGCATGGACCCACAAGCCCTGAGACTCTAGAACTAGTGCCAAGAGTCACCAAATGGTTTCTCCACCACCAGCTGCCATAGCCATCTCTTCATTTCCCCTCCCTCTCTTCTCCTTTCTCTCTTTTTTTTTCCCCTCCTCCCGTTGACTTCCCCTTCTACATTCTTTCCCCTCTCTTCCTATTTTCCCTTCTCCCCACATGCATTGTATTGGCCGTGACTGATGGCCATGGGCTTTGTTCAGTGGTCTTCAGGGCTACTATGGCAGCTGGATCCTGGAGGGAGAAGGGCTGGGGAGGCTGACTGGGCCGTTGCTGTCTCAGTGCCCTGAGTCATTTCACCGCAGAGATGCCCTATTAGGGCTACGTTTTCAGTCTCTTTCTGCAGAGGTAGCAAAGTGCAGGGACAGTGTATCCTGGGTTACTTGATTGCTTTTTCTATTCACTTACCTTAGTTCTGTTCTTGTTTCTTAAGACATACTAGGCTTTTTAGAGCATCTCTGGGAAAAATTTGAACATGAGGAGGCCAAGCTAGAAAGGGTATTGATGCTTTTCACAGCACCCTCTGCCCAGTGAGCCACTGAAGACAGTGTGCTTCTCGTTCAGCTGGGCTGTGCGAGAACATGGCTTAAGTTCTCCAAAACCAAAGGATGAGTGAGGCTTCCAAGGGAGGGAAGCCTGTCCAAGTTCAAGGAGAAGGGGTTTGGTTCTCTGTCTGCCAGGGACAAAAAGTTCTTTCCACATGTACCTCCTGGTCCTGAGAGCTTTCAAAAGGGAATGTATTTCATTCTCAGGAAAGCATCACCTCCCAGTAAAGCTACCATGAAGGGCTCCTGCATAAAATAGGAACACTTCCCCCTCCTCAGCTTGAGGAGGGAGAGGATGTCGGAGTTTGGAGAACCCCTGTGCTCTGTTTGGTTCAGCTGTCAGGTGTGTGCCAGGCAAATACCACCTTGCCTTCTGATCCTACAAGTTTCTGTGGACAGGCTGCTCTTCATTTCAGTTTTCCTGTAGAATGCTTGTGTCTTCCTTTATTTTCCTTACCCTTCTGAAAATGTAACTCACAATCTGTCATCATTAGACTTCACTCTGTTTTCTACTTTAAGTCCAGTGACATCACCAAAGTGAAAAAAACATGGACTTCTTAGAAAAAAATTAAACATTTTATTAGGGAAAACATGGAAATTTTCATATTATTATGGAAAATTTCAAATATGTACGAAGTAGAGAGAATCCCCACATACTCAACCCTTAGTGTCAATAATTATCAACTCATGGCCAGTCTTGCTTCATCTATACCAAGGGTTAGCAAACTATGGGCCCGTGGGGAACATCCAGCCCGCCATCTGTTTTTGCAAATAAAGTTTTATTGGAGCACAGCTATACTCATGTATGTACTTATTATTTATGGCTGTTTGTGCTCAAAGAGTTGAATAATTGTGATGGAGACTGTATAGCCTGCAAAGCCTAAAATATTTACTTTGTGGCTCATTATAGAAAATACAAGTGCCAACTGCTGATCTGTAATCCTCTCACTCCATCCTAGATTATTTTGAAGCAAATGCCAGACATCGTATTTTATCCATATTTCTAAAAAAATTCTCTTATTTAAAATAAAACCACTATATTGTTAATAGTATTTCCTTACTATCACCAAATACCCAGTCAGTAGTCAAATTTCTCCAATTGTGTCGCAAATTAATCACTGACTTTTAACAGGCTTATACTTTTTATTGCATGCTTATACTTTGTGTATTTCCAGCATATCTATTTAAAAGCAGTGGTGACTCTGTACATGTGCTGGTTACTGCCTCCAACCTCTGTGGTCTATAAATATTATAGGCCTTGACCTGGTGAACATTTGGATGGAATCTAAATGAAGATATTTAATGGTATCTTCTAAGGATGGCTGAGGATTTACTCTCCTTTCAGGACTGAGGTGGGACACTAGCTCTAGCTTTCTTATTTTCAGGGTAATTTTAATGTTTTATTGGGAGATGGCTCAACTCTACACCCCACATAGCCTCTTAGTTTTTCCTGAGTTTTAGGCCCAGACCTTTGAGCCCCTGGCAGTTACTTCCTCTGTGTAATAGGGAACCCAGAGAGAACAGAACGCTTCTGCTTCCATTGCTAATTAATGGGAGAAGTTCCAACTTAGGGAAGTATTACGATGGTGAGAGCCAACTCGGAACTACAGGTTATCTCAGCAGACCTAGCCATGGAGGGGCGAGACTGAGCCACAGGGTTCACTTGATCACATCCATCCCCTTCTCTCAGACCTATGGGACACTTGTGTGATGACCAGTTATTCTCTCCAGTAGCAAAAAGTACTGGACCTGGTAGGCAAGGATGAATGTGATGATTTGCTCTTTAGTGACTCTTAGGTGGTGCTCAGACCAGAGGTGAGGAGGGAGAGTGATCACCACAGAGCACAGCGTTCGGGGGGAGGCCTTACAGAGGGATGGGGATCAAACGCAGTCCTGCAGGAAAGGCTGGAGGTGGATTTAATCAAGAAGAGGAGGGCGATCCAGGTTGGGGGAGCAGTGTGACTATGAAAGGTGTGGTTAGGGATGATGTGTGGAGCCGCTTTGCTGGAGGGAAAGGTTTGTGTGAAGCAGAGATGCTCAGAGTATGTCCAGCATGGCCCCTGAGTTTGGTGGAGGTGCCTGCTGGAACCAAAAGGCCGACTGCGACTCTAGCCACTGCTGTTTTTGTATATTGCAATTCTGCATAAAAGTTCATCTGAAATAAAATGTGAGATTATGCTGCTTAGAAGTTTGAAATTCACCAGTGCAGAGGGCTTCTACTTAAACATGGAGATTGAACATGTGTTTATTTCCATTCCTTCTTGAAAACCCACTAAAATGGCAATAAAGGTATAAAAAAGTATAAACCGTCAATGATAAAGGAATGGAAGAGGAGAAACAGCATATGAGAGATGTTAATCAAAGTTTAGTTGACGATAGATAAATGGCAGAGCTGAGAAAGCTGAAACCCAACCCTACAGTGTGAGGTATCCACCAGGAAGCCAGCCGATTTGCACCATGGAGCCCTGGAAAGCCTCAGCTATGGGAGACATCAGTGTGTGTGTGTGTGTGTGTGTGTGTGTGTGTGTGTGTG